CGTGTGTCATTTTGAAGAGGAAAAATTCCAAAAGTACTTGCAAAAAATCATTATTTACTACAATACTTAGAAGTGTTGAGCACAAAATTTTTCCCAAATGAATGTATGTTGACCATCGACGTTGAAGAAGATGACTAATGCAATAGTTTTTAATATGGTTAAAATTGTCCATGAATTTTCAAACTTGTTGATTATATTGTATGGATTGTAGGCATTAAGAATTTTATCGAGGCAATGCTGTGATAACCTCAATGTCATGATGACCAAAGCAGAGATCATATCGATTAAGGAGGGTCGTAGAATCTTCTTTCCAGTCATGTTGACACCCCCCCCCCCCCTCTCTCTCTCTCTCTTAAAATTTCGCCATTTGATGGGGGCGCGCTGCCCCTATCCTAGATACTACATTATACATATGTGTTAGAAAACAGAAAACATGAGCATATAATATCATTACGCGAAGACTTCATTAATAGGTGTCCAGAGGATCCCTCTTTAAATATAATGTGTATATTACCCCTCCCCCCTTCCCTCCCTAAAATAACAACAACAACACATGGACACATGTTTACACATACATTGATAAATATATTTGGTCCTTGGTCGCCTTTTATATGAGGCTTTTATATATTGATCCCGATTGTTTCATGACAATAAAGAGCGCCATCGCGTGGCGCAACAGCCACAAGACATACATATAATCTTTTATATTCGAATCATTCATATCGTACCGTGGAGCGAAATACGAATGAAATACTGATTACTAGAAGTGTACCCTTTCCCCTTCTCTCTCTCTCTCTCTCTCCAATCATTCTTTCTCACCTCCTTCGCTCTCCAGTTAAATGAACACATTTCTTGATAATTGCGTTATTACTGACAGTTTGTATGATATAATATAAATATTGCTCCGGTTGTCTCATTTTTGCCAGCACAAACGTAGCTAGTTCGCCGTCCATAGAACGTATATAGCAGACGGCAATCGGTGAATCCGACGACACTTGATAATGATTTTGTATGTGAGACTGCTTTGCTAGATATGAAATACAAGAACCTTTTCCATATCTTTAAACTATCATTGATATCTGATAATTAAACAGTTAGTAAAATAAACCTACCAAACTACATAATACAATGAAATACTTGACTGAAAGTAGGGGAGTTTGATGTGGTGCACAATTGCACCCCTCTGTTAATAATCGAATAGTCCATGGTGTTCATGAATATTCGTGTTTTTGCTTACCTCGGCAAAATGCTTGCCTATACTAAATGTAAAAATTACGGTGGGGGGGGGGGGTTGGCTGAAATGGACATAAAGAACAAATCAGAACTGATCTATGATAATTCATGCTTCTTATCTTTCGTGTACTTGACTTATAACCTTACAATCGAGTGGGAAAATGCGTCCAAAGTTCGACTTGTTGCACATGTGTTATATAGGCAATGGCGAGCTGGCGACCTATTTTGACCAAATTATTTATAAGTAAAGTAATAAAGTTCGTAAGTCAGGAAAAATATGACATGACAGTATTACTACTTAAAGGGATTTGGTATCTTTGTCTCAGATTCTAAACAAAATCCTGGATTTAGCTCATGCTGCAATCATAATTATAAATCGTTAGGTCAGTCAGGAATCCCATGACGTTTACAAGCCGATCACCCGTCTCATTATCAAGATATTTGTTATTGGAATTCGAAATGTCAAAAACCGTTTTCCCATCGGTATTTATAACAATACAGTCCATTGGGGAAAATAAGTATGGTAAAACCGGTCGCTCAAAGATTTTTTATTTTTTTGAGGCACTTCATGATCATTTTGAAGCGCATTTTGTTTAGGGCTTCAATATTACACCATATCCAAGACACTGATAACACGTAGGGCCATGCATCTCAGATTTGGCATTGTTAAACAATGCCTTTAAGACTAAAGGGAATTAATTATGGTTAGATCTACCTCAGAATTTCGGGGAACGACTTGGAGTTCGTCTTCAAGTTCGTCGGTTAGCCACATCGTTGTATCGATCATGTACTGGGCGTTACATAAAAGCGGAATATTATTATTATTATTAAATTATGAATACAAAAGCCTATTATGTCAAGAAATGTGCTTACATTGTTTAATACCAGTTTTAATTTGTATAAAATATTAAATTGTAACAATCCTAAAACCTGCAAATTTGCACATTTCCGATTACTTCCGGCTCACGAAAACAAAAATTGAATTTGTTCAAGTACAGTTATTTATGATGTTATACGTATGTTAGATTAGTGCCCAAACATGCCCAGTCGAGTAAATTTGATTAGTATTTCAGGATTGTATTGCTCCATTTCCTTTCGCTTGCCTCCTGTAAAGGTAAGCACCTTGTACTGCTCGTATCATAAGACAAGTGGTACTTCTCTTTAAAAAAAAGAGTGAATTTTCACTCTATTTTCACTTTCTTGGGAGTGACGTCCGTGATCACTTGTTTAGGAGTGAAAATCGATTGATTTTAGAGTGCTCTCTAAGAAGAAAAGAGTGAATGTTCACTCTATTTTCACTACATTTTCACTCTCCAGAGGATGACGTCCGTGATCACTCGAGCGAAAAGTAAAGTAATTATCATTACAAAAGCATATTTCCCTTTGAAAGTGGCCCGTTAGTTTGCAGCTAGGCAGGAATCTTTTGTCTAAGTATCTGCATAGAGATCCGCACATGCCTGACATATTTTCTCCTGAAAAGGGAATGAGCTAGATATAACGACATGTCTTAAATCTCCTTGTCGAACCCAGTTTGAAGTTTGATTGTCGGCAAAATATACGAACGAAGATGCCGATAAAATGTTTTTGGATGAATTAAAGATGTAAGTAGACCCAGTCTACAATATGTCGAAAAGGGCAACAGTGAAAACACTCAATCCCCTTTGTAACAAGACAGCAAAAAATACGTCTTGATCGGCTGAACGTAGAACGGCGACTGCTGGTGCTATGCGTGGCAAATCTGAGAAAATGCCCAACAGGGCCTCCGCTCATTGATTAATTTTGTTTAACGCTATTGTCATAATTGCCGTCTTAGTGCAATTAAATGATTAATGCATGAATTGAATTAAGACATGTTTTAAAGAAAAGTAATCATTTATAAAATACCAGAGAACGATATAGAATTTTCCTCTATCTTATGGCATGGTTTCATAATTATTCTACAAGTTTTGAAAATCATAATAAAAATAGATTGTTTGTTCACTACAAGAGAGACAGTAGGAGGGACATCTCTGCCTGCAATTAGCCGAGGTGAACAATTTAACAAAAACCGTTCATGTATATTTCACAATTTTTTGAGTACTTTTTCAGTACCGTTTAAACAAAATAGTGTTATAAACTTATACTAAACGCGAAGTATGTGTCTCAGTCACTCAGAACCTTCGGGTAAGTACGGAGTCTTCGTGCCTTACATAATTTTCTACATGTGGGGCTGGTCGCAAAAATGGTTTCGTTGCATTTTGGTGGGACTACAGTGACTTTATAACAACAATTTTCAAAAATCTCTGTTACGTTAATTTGATTTCAGTAACCCTGATTTTATCATTTAGTTTATCTAGATTATTCATCTGAATATTTTTGGTATAAGGATGAGAAAATTATGATTATTCCAATAGTTATTGCCGGAATTTCGGTGCCATCGCAGCCGCTATGCTACGCCAGTCGACTGTCGCACCCCGCTGGGCAGGCATTTTTTTTTAAAACCTAACTTAGCCACCCTACCGCTGCATTTGATTGGCTCAATAGGAACCTATACGTCATGCGCTAGTAATAAATATTCATGATACACACGCACACAGAATCTGAAGATATTGCATTGCCCTTTACGACCGACCAAAAATCTTCAAATCTACGATCGGCTTTTTAAGTTATTATTTTTAAACCGTTTTTTTTTAGAGAAAAACAAAATTAAACCATGAAAAACTGAAAAATATCAGCCCAAAGAGGGGAGAATTTTTTTATTGAAACAAAATATTTAAAAATTCCGACCGACCGACCCATGATTTGGCACCCAAAGGGCATTACAACATCTTTTTTTAGGCCCTATGTTACATTGCGAGAAAATCGGGAGGCTTACCGTAATAAACGAAGGACCGCAATCTTGCTCTTTTTTTTCTCTCTCTCTCTCTCTCTCGCTCTCCTTCCTTCAACGTTCTGTCTCTCTCTCTCTCTTTTTCTTTCTTATGTCCATCTCCTCCCGTCCTCTAATCTCTCAATCATACACCATTACAAATAACGTGGTCTCAACAACATAATCCAACATGATATTTCTTTCCCATGCAGGTAATGGATTTGTCCTCTTTCTTGTCTACACGATGTGGCATACTTTTGATTCTTCTGATGTTAATTTGCATTGTAACATGCCACGAGCAAGGTAATATAAATACCAATACTTCCCTTTATTATTAATGAATGAATGAATTGATGGAAAAATTAATGTATTTATATATTAATTAATTTATTCAATTATTTATCTAATTGTGTGTTTATTTATATACGTATCCATTCATTTCTATATATATGTACATTAATGTATTTTAATTTAGTAATGTATTATTTGAGGTATTATGGGATCATATTTGAAGGGCCCTGCACTTGCATGAGCTTGTGATTTAATTCTCTACATATTCATTCTTTTTATAAGCTCCCTTTCTCCACCCCTAACCCCGACCGCCTCTTAATTTCTCAATCTCCCTCTCTCTCTCTTTCTTTCTTCCTCTCTCTTTCTTTCTCTCTCTCTTTCTCTCCCTCTCTCTCTCCCTCACACCCCTCTCTCTCTTACACTCTCTCACTCTCTTCTACCTTCTTTCCTTCTCTCTTTGTCTGTCTGTGTCTGTCTCTCTCTCTCTCATTTTCTCTCTCCTTTTCTCCATCTCTCTATCTCTCTCTCCGGCTCTCTTTCTTTCTTCTTTCTTTCTCTTTTCTCTCCTCTCTCTCTCAATTTCGTTGGGTATTATTTTTCTACGTTTTTGTTGATTCCTTGTAGCCAGCATCACATGCTCCGACCGACCCTGTCAGAATGGAGGAACCTGCATGAACGCGTACATGGTGGGGAAGGAAAATCGCAGTTATCATTGTTACATCTGCCATTGTACCGACTCTTTCATCGGCCAAGACTGCGAGACGTCACTAGCAGGTAGGTTTGTCTTACGTCACTTGTGTGTTTGAAGGAAGAGGGAGGGGGCAGATCGCCCTCTCTGGCAGATTTTTGGCCAAGAAAACGAAATTCAACTACGTGTTGTATACTAGATATAGTATTTAGCAGGTTAGGGGTTGTTAGTCAATAAACGCACAAAAGGGACGTATGTATACCTTTTTCCTTCTTCCCAGAATAGGCCAGATATAAGTCACTATGGGCGCTACCCCCCCACCCCCCCACCCCCCCCCCCCCCCCCCCTCTGTAATAGCAACCATGGCCCTAAAAAGTGGTTTCCTTACAATCAGTATATGAATTGTAGTAAAGTTAAGATGTATTGCCACTTCTAAGGCCCTCAATATACGTCAGTTCAATCGAAGTTATGTTCGAAGCCAAGTCAGTTGTGTATCCAGACCTCGGCCATATTCTCGGGGAATGGATGAGCGTTGAACATCATTCTTTTATGTTAAATCTGTGACAAAAAAAATACCGGTAATAATAATAAATTAATGTTTCGTTACTTTTCACTCCTCATAATCAAAGTTTAATGAGCAATAGTTACTTGACTCATTGTCTCTCATGATTAGGTTTGGAAGTAACGATTTTAAGCATTACCGGTCTGTCACGATCAATGGTCTCCAATGGAAAGATAAACGACCTCGTTTTCAACCTCAAAATCACGTCATCACAGGATGGGGGAGGGACGATACAAAAACGACCTGCGAAAGCCTAAATGGCAAGTACCCCCCCCCCCCCCATTTTCCAATCTTACAGTTAAGTTGTGAAAAAAAATAACTATCATATTAACGGACATACCAGAAAACTCTTTGATTTAGTAGGATTTAGTTCATTCCGGAAGAAAATGAATAAGACCACGTGGAAAAATAATACAGGAGAGAATTTCAACCTCTAATGAATCTACAATGATGTTCTGTGAATAACATGTAACCTGTAACAAAGAGAAAGGAAGCCCACACCCAAAATGTTGCCAATTTTCTCTTCGCTAAACGATGCCAGTTGTTTAATGTGAGACAAGTAATATTCGCTCCGTCTCTGTTCGTGCTGTTGGATTTTTTTTCCAATCCAAGTCTTGATTTCTGTAGAATTTTACAGGATGGTTTAGTCATACCTCAGCTCCAACTGAAATGGAACTGGACCCAAGTTGGCCCAGAGCGTCGCTCACTTAACTCGGGTTCAGTTCGAAACGGACATTAGTCCTGTTTCAATTGTACCAATCCCAACATCAAGAGAACATTCAGTCTGATGGGGATCAGTTGCGACAGTTTTACTCACTTCTGTGTCTTTTTCTGGAAGTCGCCCGTCGTTATGCCTGACTCCAAGATGGTCCCTTCCGTGCTTGTCTCGTGTACTGAAATAGGATGTGGAGATGGTAAAATAAAAACAGCTAGTATTACAAGAGATGAATTAATCTTCAGGAGAAGTTCTGATTTTACATTATTTTGAAAATAATTGTTCAAGTCTATAGGCGTTGGAAGAAAGGAAGGATAGGATCCGAACCCCCTCAATAAGTAGGGAGAGGATTATTTTTACACTTCAAATAGTCCTTTGAACTTTTGTAATTTGCTTTACAAGCATATCGAGACATTTGTGTATGACGGCTTCCCATACAATCAGCTATGTTGTCAAACGCATTTAAATGCTTTCGTAACGCAGATGATTATATGGGAAGCCGTCGTGTGCAAATTTCTCTCTGCTCTGCTCTAAGATGACTACGGTTGCAAACTTTGAAAACGACATAACTTTACATAAATAGCTGTATAATCAAAACTTCTTACCCCAAATTAATGATCTTGGCGTCATTTCAATCGGAAGGAAATCTATTTTCTATTTTCTGATCTAATTCTCTACGTTTATACAATGATTTTGTTGAAATAGCATATATCATGTGTATCATTCTTTCTGTACCACCCTGTATTGAAAGACATAATAAAATATCATATATTATAATGTACCGTCTTATCTCATACGATATTGTATTCTATCTTAATCATTCTAGACGCCTGCAGTTTTGATAACCTACATGTATGTGAAAATGAAGGGCTTTGCATGGAGGATGATGTAAATCCTGGTAACGTCAAGTGTGAATGCCAGGATGGGTATGGCGGACTCTTCTGTGAGGAATCTATCCCAAGTAAGTGCATTATCACAAATTCAATTTCCTGTTAATTATATCATTTTTGTCCATCTATATATCCAAGGCCTGGAATCTGACCTTTTTTAAAACTAGTATACCGGAGTATGAGACTTCTCATTCATATAGTGGTTTATCCAAGACTTCTGTACGCAGTTTGGCTGTGATGAAGTTTAGACCATGGATTATCTACTGAGCTTGTGACATGATACTGAATGATACATATACCGAGAAGGACCTACTGGAGGCTTACGACGTGGCTCTTGTTCTGTCAAGACATTGGGAAATAGTTGTGTGATTACTTAAAATGCAAATGTGATGATGATGATGTTGATGATGATGAAGTTTAGATCTTTACTAAATAGGACTTTACATTAATCAATAAATCTAAATGCCTCATAAACGGGTTCTTGTGACGAAAGAATGCAGCAACAGCCTTTCCAGTAAAGGCTCCCACAGAGTGTTACCGAAAGCCTTCAATCGAAGCATGAGACTTCTCATTCTCAATGGTAAAATTGTGTTGGAGTTTAGACCAGGGACCACCTACTGGGCTGTGACATGCTGACTGATACATGTACTTGGTGGAACCTGGTAGAAGCCAACAACCTGGCTCTTGATTTTGCAAGATATTGGGAAAGAGTTGTATGATGACTCGAAGTAATGATGATGTAATGATGATGCTGATGATGATGAAGTTCAAAGATGATAAAGTTCAGAATATGACTTTTCCTCTAAACGCCTCAAAAGTGGGTTTTTGTGACGAAATAATACACAAACAGCCTTTTCAGTAAGGCCACCACATGGTGTAACTGAAAGCCTTTAGCGGTTAAGTATTACGGGGGATTACTTATTTCTAAAATGATTTTACCGTTTGATTTATATTCTAGACGCCTGCATGGTTAATAACCCTTGCCAAAATGAAGGGACCTGCATGGAGGATGAAGATAATCCTGGTTACGTGAAGTGTATATGTCCGGATGGGTGTGGCGGACTTTACTGTGAGGAAGCTATCCCATGTAAGTGCATTATTACAATTTTAATTACCTTTGAATTCTATCATGTTTGTCCATATATATTCAAGGCCTGAAATATACCATTTTTGTTTACATTATGTGGTTAACATTCAATCTAAATGCCTTATAAGCAGATTCTTGTGACGAAAGAATACACGACAGCCTTTTCAGTACGTTAGGACTTACGGGGTGATTACTTATTTCTAAAACATTTCCCCTTGTCATTTGTTTTTTAGACGCCTGCTTGTTTGATAACCCTTGTCAAGATAAAGGGACCTGCATGGAGAATGAAGGCAATCCTGGTAACGTGAAGTGTGTATGTCCAGATGGGTCTAGTAGTGGACTGGACTGTGGAGAATCTACCCCGTGTAAGTGCATTTCCTTAGTTCAATAAAACATTTCCTAGATACAATCTGCGCATGGGCAGATAAAGATGATTTGTGCCAAAATTGTAAAAACCCATTGAGACGAATAATGGATTTTTGTGCTCGTGAAACTTATGTCATTTGTTCACCGACGACATATTCTTCGATTTACACAGGTGGAAGTGTGCTTCTCAAAAGATATTCATTAAGCACCTCCATCATTTTCTCAGTGATTATTATAAAATGTACACAGTGGGACGCCTCCATGAGTAAAAGATTTGGGGGCCAGTTTTACAAAAGTTAACCTTGAACTGATATATTTCCTTTGCAGTCAATTAAGGATTATCATAGGTTCCAAGGAGAGCCCTATGTCTGCGCATCGAACAATTGATTAAAAATATTCCAAGATGTGTGAACAGTCCTCCAATGCATAATATGATATTGTTCTTTAAAATCTATTTCAATCCAATTCAATTAAATTCAAATAATTTTATTTCCATAACTCAATCAATTCTCTTTTATTTGCTTACATAAAATGATTATATCAAATGATATCTGCAATTCCATATAGACAATAACAATTATTTGTAACTATAATCATGATTAATGTTGACAACTAATCAAAGCATTTTAGGATACACAATATATAAGCATATATTTTTTTCTATATCCAAACCATCCTAATGAAGTTGTTCAGCCAAATTTTCATTTCATCAATTCTGCAGGGTATTTGAAAGCGAACGTATCAATAGCCGCTCTTGGTGGTTTTGCAGTATTCACGTTACTTGTCATTCTCATTATAAGTTGGTAAGTACCTAATGGAAATACCTCAACATATATTTTCTCAGTATTTTACTCCTGTTATGATGTAACTTGTCTATTCATTTCACAGTCATTGCTTTTTCTCTCCCATTTTGCAAGAGATAGGACACTATTTAATTAATTAATTAATCAATCAATCAAATTCTGCTATTTTGGCAATTATTTTGTTTGAAGCAACAACCACTTCTTCTATTTTCAGAACATTATCAACTTTCAGTTCCTTTACAGTTTTAAGAAATATACATAAATGTACTGACACGGATCATTTAAAAAGTGATAGTAAGAGTGATACCCTTCACTAGAAGAAACTTGAAATAAAGATTTAGTTGATCTTGTTGCTTTCATTTTGACTCATCCAGTGCCAAGGTGAGGGAACGGTCTTCTGCAAGGAATGAGACAAACGTATCCGATCTCCTGTTCGCAGTCGGGACAACTATGGCAGTGCTGGCAAATTCACGTCAACGGCCAACCCCATCGGTAAACAACTACCCCGACCCTGGGGCAGTAGCTGGTGAACTCAACGTACCGAATAGTCCTATGAGAGGAGTGAATAGGGACCAAGAAAACAGGGTCCAGGGAAACAGGGTCCAGCGAAACGGGGACCAAGGAAACAAGGACCAGGGAAACGGGGACCAGCAAAACAAGGACCAGGAAAACAGGGAACCAGATAAACATGGACCTGGCAAACAGCCCCCTTCCACCTTTACCTGACCAACCAAGACGGAGTTTCCATGAGTATGCGATCATGTTAGGACGATTAATCAGACCAAGAAGGAATCATGAGGGGCAGCGCTAGCCCATCTAAGATTGGATAGGGTGCGGGTGTCGTATCATAGTTTGTTTACAAAAACAAAATAGCATCTCCAATTAGAAAAAAATAGGGTACTAAAGTTTTCAAATTGGCCAAAGGGATCATACTCGTCATACTTCAAATTTTGCCTACGGATATTCGGGAACCTAATGCAATTTCGATAGCCCATTCAATTAAAAACGAGACGACATATCAAGCAATCTGATCGAGGTTTTGTACACCGGATCACCCTTAATTTGTTTCCTTCAAGGTATTAGTGATCGTGTTGAAAATTGTGCAACATGCTAATGAAAAAAAAGGAGTTATTGATTTTCGCATAAATTTGGAGGAAGAAGTTTCGAATGATGATGTCACATTTACTGTAGACCCCTCTTACCCCACCCCAGGCATATCTTGTATTCATCTCTGTGACCCCTCGACCATTTTGACCCGTTCAATCGATGGCACTGATAGATCGGAATTCATGTATAAATATTTCATATTGCATTTTTTTGTTTGATTTGCCTTGAAATGTCCTTATCAGCTGCATTTTGAGACTGTTATTTTATTAATATCCTAGAATTATAAGTTCAGAAAAATTATTGGTTTAACATATTTATTTAGCAGTTTTTACTCCGTATTTCTTTCTTAAAATGAAATATACGAGAGGATTTATTAAATGTATCTTCAGAAGAGTACAACTTCTTTAAAAAACAAACATATAATGACTGAATTATATGGGTAATTTGAAGAATATCTGTAGTATTCGTAGAAATACACAGATGGTAAGAATAAAAAATGCTAGACTAAAGTAGAAACAATATTGATTATATCATTGAATTTTTGAGACAATGGCTGTCACTTAGTTTGTGAGTTTGTTTACTATGGCCGTTAACAAAAGTTTTTTCTGTGGTATGAGTGTTGTTTAGCCGAAATTACTTTTCCATTTTGTCGTTGGCTTTCATATAGTCAAAGCCAAATACTGGGACTCTTTGTTAATGAACAACAGATAGGATGTGTCATGTACTTAGTGCAGCTTTTCTTCTAAACTGAATTATAAATTTGTTTGCATTTAATGTACCTTGCTTCTCTGTAAGTAAATTTGTAATATGTTTGTTTTAATGCGTTTCATAGACGTGATTTCCCTTTTCTGTCAAGATCTTTAACAATATTGCACATATATTTTGTATACGAAATAAAAAATTAAATGACAGCTGAATCCACAGATTCTCTGCTCAACTTGCGAAAGAAAGCTTACATTATATCAAGTTGTAATCTAATGCCGGTGGTGCAGTGACGGGGTTGTTCACGGTGGCCACTTGCTCCTCCAAAACTTTCCACAGACCCCCCCCCCCCCCACCCAACTACAGCGTACACACATACACCGCTAACGCACACACAGGCACATACCCACACACTCATAGTAATGTTTACAAAAGAGAGAAAGATGAGGGAGGGAAAGATAAGAAATAAAGAGAAAGACAGAGCGGAGGAGGAAAAAACAGGAAGAATGGGTAAGCGGGGTATGTTTTCCTTCTCCTGGAGGGGAGGGGGTAGTTTGAGTACACCATTGAAGCAATTTGATATTATGTTTTATCCCTTTGAGTATATCTCTGGCTGCAATAAGGGCTCATTAAAGTAAACTGTCAAGTAGTGATCGAATAATTACTCACATTACCCCCTCTCCAACTGTCCCTTATCTTTATTCCCCGCTCATATATCCCTCTTTTGATCCCTCTATCTCCGTCCCGCTCTCTTTCTCTTTATCTCTCTCTCACCCCCTCTCTCCCTCTTTCTCACTAGCTCCCTCACACCCCTCTCTGTTCTTCTCTCTCCACACACCCCCTCTCTCTCTCTCTGTCTCTCCCCTCTCTTTCTCTTACTCTCCCTCTGTCATCCCTTTCTCTCCACCTCCAACTCTCAGCCTCTAAATAGTCATTCAGCGTAGCATCATCACATTCTCATGTCTTGCATTCTCAACGTCATAATATCCGAGTAAAGAGACAGTTATATGACATAACATTACTGTAACCAGGTGCGTACGCGGGGGAGGGGGGATAACCCCCCTCCCTTGGGTTTTTTATGTGCGTATTTTGGAGGAAACCCCCCCTTGTTGTTTGTTTTTTTTAATTAAAAAAAAGAAGAAGAAAAAAAAAATGTCCTTTTACACCCCCCCCCCCCGCTTATTCAGCAGCTGGCTGAGTCGTTGCAAGAATTTCGGCCCGATTTAAAAATGTTAACCCCCCCCCCCCTTGAAAAAATCCTGCGTACGCTACTGACTGTAACGTTACTCAAACGGTATAAGCAAAACCAAAATTAAGGTAATTTTTTTTTCTCTTTAATTTTTAAATCCCCTTTTAACCCTTAAAAAAATGTTTAATGATATTTACTGACAAATATTTCACACGAACAGCACCCCAGCCAGAGGCGGCGGAGGGACTTCCAAAGTTGGGAGGGGGGCACCAACAAAAAGGGCACCTTCAAAGGCAAATCTCAAGGCGAAAATATACAATTTTGTATACATTGGTATATACCCCTATATTGTAATTACATTATAAGGGATGATTTCAATATTTGTTTCTTTTTTTACATCATATAATATATTGCTTAAGCATCATACTTTGCAGTTGGGTATGATGGTCCGGAAATTCATTTGCGAGCGAGGAAAATTTTAAAGATTTGTGAGGTCGCAGTGCAAAAAAGTACATCTTATAAAGAGGAAAAACTCAAAATGATGGGGTTATAAGCTCATTTTCATAACGGAAGACTAAGAAGACCTTTGATAAGTTACATCATTATACCATCTAGGCTATAACTACGAGCGAGCTTTGGGGAAACTTTCTTAGTCGCTTGAAATTAGGGGCGCGTTTAATGATGAGAGGAAAAGGGGACACTAACTTATCGAGAGGGTTAAGACTCTTATTACAAAAGAAAAGGAGCATGTGTCAAAGTACAAAGGCTCAATATCAGAGGTGAAAATGGGGCACTTCTTACACCTCGAATAGAGGCACGCACCAGGGATGAAGAGGGATTTTATGATAACGGGAAATGGGCATTTGTCGACGGAAAAGAGTCACCCATCAGATTTTGATAGGGGCGTTCATAAGAAGTGAAATGGGGCATTTGACGCCTTATAAATCTTATGTATTATTATTATTATCATTTATGAAAAAGGGATAAGTTCTTTATTAAGAAACGAAAAAGGGGCACATATCAGTTTTTAAAGGGTAATTATCAGCGGTGAAAAGGGGCACTGATGAGAATGAAAATTACACTAATGATAAAGGGAAATGTGCATTTGTTGAAAGAAAATGGGCACCGATCAGATTTTAATAGGGGTATTTATCGAAGGTGAAATTGGTATTTTATGAGAAGGGCGAAGTGGCTCTTATTGACAAGAAAAAGAGGCACATGTTAAAATGAACGGGGCACTTATCAAAGATGAATAGGGGTCATTATGAGAAGGGGAAGGGGGAAATAATAAGAAGGAAAAAGAGCATTTATTAGGAAGGACAAGGGGGACGTGTCAAAATAAAAGGGGCATTTATATAAGATGAAAAGAGCACTTACCAGGAGGGGAAAGTGCACTTGTCAAATTAAAACGAGTATCTCTCAGAATTTAATAGGGTCATTTACAAGCGATGAAAAGGGGCACTTATGAGAATGAAAAGGAACTATTTTCATAGATGAAAAGTGGCATATATGCAAAGGGAAAGGGGCTCTATTTTAAATGGGGGCACTTATGAGAATGGACAACGGACACTTATTTCAAAGGAAAAGTGGTACGTGTCAAAATAGAATGGGCACTTATCAGAGGTGGAAAGGGGAAGGGGCAATTAAAAAAAACTAATAGGGGCACTTGTCAAAGTTAAAGGGGCACTCTTCCTATGTAAAAAGGGGCACTTTTAGGGTACTTGAAAAAGTGTGGGGGGGCATTGTGCCTTTCCTTGCCCCCCCCCCCCCTTCAGGAGCGCCGCCTCTGGCCCCAGCCTTTTCTAACGTGAGAAAATCTGCAACGTGTGTGATTCATCCAGATTGTACATGGGTTTTCTTCTTCATGAGAACAATAGGAGACGGTCGGCGCTCCGATGCTTTTGCACAATTAATCAAACACCTGAAAAGGTTTTGACGTTTATATTTACTTAGAGATTCACAAGGGTAAACATTTGATGTGGTTGCAAAAACAAAATTCCACAAACGAAGTCAAGTCGATAGCGACATATTAGCATGATTTTATTGCAAATGCAGATGTAAACGTCCATGTTTTTCCAGTCTGCTTTTTTAATTTGAAAGTTTCGTACCCCGTCGGCAGATTTGTATAAACCAGAAGGCCTTTTTAGGTTGTTTTGGTTGATAGAAAATTTCCTGGCTAACTCATAGGCAAATTTTGTCAGGCGGTACACCACTGCCTCCAGCCATCACCTTCCCGAAATTCAAAATGGTCTCACAATAACTACAAACACCGAGAGTAAAAATTAGGTCAAGGTTAAGCGCTAGGATTATGATTATTCTTTTAGAATATATACTTACTGTTGTTATACATCTTTTGTCCGTAGCATATGGGTATGAGTAGTATTGAGACGATGAGGGAAGCCATCTCAAGAAGTTTGTCGGTATGCATCATCTGTAAAAATTTGAAGACAGAAATAATTTTGAAATATGGATGAGAAATTAAAAGATGTACGACACAAATGTTGTCAAGGATGATATATATGCGATGATGATGGTGATGATGATGAAGATGATGATGAAGAAGATGAGGAAGATGATGATGATGATGATAATGATAATGATGATGACCCACAACATGTTCATGACCCCGTAATTCTAAAAACAATTCAATGACACATGAATAAATAGTTTAAAGAATATTAATTATACAAAGTCATAACAACAGCTATTGATCTACTTTCGTGATGGTTCAGTGGTAGAGCAGTGGCCTCTATTAAAATGGAAGGTTTCGGGTTCGAATCAAATCGGTGCGCTATCCACTGACAAGGCTATAATTCAATGACAGATGAATAAATAGTTTAAAGAATATTAATTATACAAAGTCATAACAACAGCTATTGATCTACTTTCGTGATGGTTCAGTGGTAGAGCAGTGGCCTCTATTAAAATGGAAGGTTTCGGGTTCGAATCAAATCGGTGCGCTATCCACTGACAAGGCTTCAATTCAATGACAGATGAATAAATAGTTTAAAGAATATTAATTATACAAAGTCATAACAACAGCTATTGATCTACTTTCGTGATGGTTCAGTGGTAGAGCAGTGGCCTCTATTAAAATGGAAGGTTTCGGGTTCGAATCAAATCGGTGCGCTATCCACTGACAAGGCTTCATAGATTATTTTCCCCCAATATATGATTCTGATAGGAAAGGACCACATTCACAAATTATAGATGGAAATAGAGTATAATCTCGTCCAACACACGAACATCACTTGTGAATTAACTTAATGTACAATCCTACTGCGTAATTCGATTTAAATCAACTGCGCGTTACAACATAATGAGCACAAAAGCAGAAGTGGCAGATATAAAAATGTATTCAGTCATATCAGATGAAAGATTTTCAAAAGACGCCTCAACCTTTATAAGCCAATTTGAGTATACAATTACAATATCGAAAGGTTTCCAGAAACAGATGAGATTGTTAAAGATATTCATTAAGGATATACACCTAATTGTGTAATTTCACTAAATGTTATGTGTATGTATATCTATCACGTATCACTTATTTCCATTATAACGTCGTTCGTTTCTGCAAGTTTCCAGCAGTGTATAACTATCTCATCGGATCGACTTCCAACTAACATGATAAAATCCAGACAAATCTATTTTTCACATATGTATTATTTAATGTCTACTAAATGTAGACTCCAACTGTTTAATTTTATCTTTTTGTTTAATTACAGTTACCAAAAAACATTAAGTACCAACTTGGCACAGGATGGCTAGTTAAAAGACGTTAAATAAACTGGTAACAATCATTTTGTAAATCGCAAATATATGAAAATAAATTATTTCAGGAAAAACATCATACAGGTCAACTAATGGAACTGGATTTCCCAAGACCTCCACAGCGTACTCCGTACACCTTCTATCTTACAATATAATTAAAGCGTGTAAACAAACCAATACAAATTTCAAACACCAAACATTTGCATATATAACTTTCGATACATTGAAATTCAATGAAGAATTCATGAAAATAATCA